GCAGCTGTGAACAAGAAGCTCATGCTCTATGGTGAGAATCCCTTTGGATATCCTGCTTTAGATTCTTCCATAAAGCTGCGTCGGTGCATGCAGTCTGCAGGTCAATGATGTGGTAAAACTGCACAGAAGTCAAAATTACTGCCAACACAGTCTCTCACAACTGACTTTTTTTGTGTTCAAAACCGTTGGGGAGCTCTCCAGAAAATTTCCCCACGTCCTTGGAAGGGACATTGGTCTTCTGGCTGACTTTGCTAGGGTTTGAAAATCTTACAGTTTGAACACAAAAAAAGTCAGTCTTTATTTGGGTATGTGACTGGCTGTTTTAGAGTCGGGGAAATCTTTTACTCTTTCCAACATGTCTCATGTAACCGGAGGCCAGAGTCTCCACTCTGATTGGCTGTGCCATCACCCAAACCCATCACGCATACTGCTTCACAAAGCTGCAGTATGTCATTTTATTTAAAAAAAAAAAAAAAGTTGTCATTGTGTTTTGACAGCATGCTATGAAACCGATTATCTGTGGAAAAAGCCTAACTCCTCGGTCTTCTCCCAGTGCTAACTAGAAACAAATGAGAACTAGAAGGCAGGTCTTTGCTCTGTCAGTCAACTCCTCTGTCTCTCACCTTGATCTAATGCTAAGGCTACTTAGCACGACCTCGGATGACATGGGATAAAAGGTTTTCCTGTAATGGCAAGTTGTCTCTCCGCCTTTAGCACATTTAGCAGTGAGTACATGAGCATGACTGACAGCGCAGAGACCCTCCTCCTGGCTCTGACTGGTTGGTTGTTTTTGACTGGGACCAGTTGGTGTAAGAAGTCAATAGTATGTCAGGGAGGAGGAGAGATAACTTCAAAAAAAACATCTGTCTCATGTATTACACTGTCAGGACATGGTGACAGTTTTACTATAGAAAAAAAGAATATATTTTTATATAAAGTTACATGCATCTTTAATAGATCAACAGTTAGTCTTTAACTGGTAAGTGCAACAAATAAAAACTAAAAACAATCCAACCCCGAAGGCCTTTCTTTACATCTCTTGTTGAAATGACGCATCAGTTCGTCCCGTCAGTTCAGCCTCCCGCTGCTGACTAAACTTTCTTCTCTCCTCACAACAAAGCGCGTCTGAATCCGCGCTCGTGTTCGGCTCCACTGACACCTCCTGCGTCTGAGACGCAGCCATGAATCACTCTCCATGTTTTGGGAGCAGAGCGCGCAAAAACACACGCGCGCCGCGCCGCCACGTACGCGCGAATGAAACATGCGTGCGCGTCGTGCGCATAACTAGGTAAGCCAACTTCCAGTATGAGCATCATGCTCCGCCCGCGTGGAGCAGACTGCCGGGCGGATGCGTGGCTGCTGCAGGCAGGTTGAAGATTGTCTCCCCCCCGAGGGCCTCTCTCTCCCTGCAGCATGTGGGGAACCATGGCGCGTTGCCAGGATACAAGCCCCTCGTCTGTACTGACAAGAAGACATGAAGAGCAAAGATTAATTATTTACAAGCAGACCCCTGTACGCCGCGTCTGGCTTGGCACTTCTCCTGCATTTAATGTCACTATCCATGAAGCCATCCGTTTTATTGCTTATTCTATTCAAAGCACTTTGGGGGGGGAAAAATTGTTGCGTCACTCCGCCCACCGTCTCATTTCGATGTAACAGCCAGGATACTTGTCTTTGCACTAAAGCTGTTTTATGGGGAAAACAAGCAGCTCCGACCGCGCGCGACCCCTTTTAAAATAAAACCAAATAAAATCAAATGAAATCAAATAAAATCTGAGGCTGTTGGGAGCTCTGACGGTCCTCTGAATGCATGCAGCTATTTGTGTTTGGTGTGGTTTCAAGCTGGGATCAGCCGCGTCCTCTGGGCTCCATCATCTAATATTTATGGGGTCCACACTCAGCTGACTGACTGACGAGCATATGCGCTCTGAGGGCGCAGGAGAGGAAACCGAGGAAACGGATTCATTTGGAGCCACAGACAGTCAGACCGGACAGTGATTCAGACACATAAAAAAAAACTAAACTAAACTAAACACACACACGCAATCCATCAGCTTCCAGTGCAGTGTGGATGAAGATCATTTAAATTTGCAGCTCCTGTTTGTGACTGTGATACCTGGGAGTGAAGGCATCCGCAGACTTTCTCTGGACCACTGCTTCTTTGTTCTGCTTTTCTTCCACCTCTTCTCTTTGTTATGCCGTCTGTCTGTCTGTCTGCTCTCTCTCTCTCTCTCTCTCTCTCTCTCTCTCTCTCTCTCTCTCTCTCTCTCTCTCTCTCTCTCTCTAGCCGGCCGGGGTTATTTGCATTCCTCCAGCGCATCCATATTCATGATGGAAGCGGGTCACTCCGCGTGGATATGCGCGTTTACGTCTGCGTGTATGTGCGCGCGAGTTGCGTTTAGAAGCGCGTGCGCGCATGATTTAATTGGGCCGTGGTCAGAGGGGATTCTCGGGCAGCGAGTCCCAGGTGGAGAGGGGAGCAGAGAGCCCACCGTTCTGAGCATTATGCATTCTCCATTGTTTCTCCTCCTCTACCCTCCTCCACCCCCCCAGCTCCGTCCTGTGGCGCCTCCTCATCAGGCGAAACTCGCTGTGATCCGGCACTAATTCTGTTCATATCGGACTGAATTACTTTGAGGACCACATGCTGGGAAGGATGTTGCAGTGCTTTTTTGTTTGTTTTGTTTTTTTATGGAGAAAAATAACATATGCAATATTGATTTTTTTTTCTTTTCCTAACAGTTTTGATGTCGATTTCTTTTCTTTTCTTTTCTTTTCTTTTTTTTTTGGAAGTGGTGAATATATTGATAAACAAAAACAACTTTCAATGTGAAATCTTTGAAATTACATTTAAATGTGTAATTTCAAAGACACAAAGCAGCAGGGGCTTTTTATTACAGTCAGAAATGTTGTTGTTGTGAAGGACAGAGGAGGGGGAGGTGGAGAAGGCTCCACATATAAAAAGCATTAATGCACAGTCCACTTCTTCCCATTATATTCCATCTGACTTCCTTACATGACAGAACCATTGTATCCCCTTAACCCTCATGTATGTCACATATCAGAGAACACAATGACTCCTGCAGCCTCCTTCACCCCAAAGTGGGAATGAGCCGCGGCGGCAGAGCAGGGCTGGTGACAGATGTTGACGGCTCAGATAACAGCAGCTTCAGCAGCAGCAACAGCAGCTTCAGCAGCAGCAGCAGCAGCTTCAGCAGTCCAAAGCAGAAGAGTCGACGTTCTCTCTTAGAGGGCCTCTCCATCCAAAATTTCATCAGTTTATAACTGTGGTTATGTAAATCTTTTGGTCCGTTTTTGATCTTTTTCTTCATTTTTGAGGAAAATCTTGTGTAACTTTTAGGCGACTGAGGTTCAATTAAAAAAATTTTAAAATTCAGATCATTCTAAGGAGAGCAGATCTGAACACACATTTCACAGCGTCACTGAAGCTGTTCATTCAGATGGAGATGAGAGAAATCACAGGAAACGACAAACTTTACAGAATCTAAAACACGATTGATTCACCTATATTTATCCGAATCGCAGAAACACACAAATGATTCAAACCAGATAGCAAGAAAGATGGGGAAAAAAAACCATTATATCTTAAATATCAGCATCACATGAATCTGGGAAAAACAAAATCCTAAAATTGTGCCCTCACTCTCAGACAGGTATGTAGTTTTCAACATTTCTTGCTTGGTAGTTTGCCTGAATGTGTTATTGCTGGCCTCTGGAGAACTACTGCATCTAACTATCTGGACCAAACTTCCAGAAAACCACAAAGATGTTGAAACACTGATTTCATTTAAATCAAGGCTAAAAGAGCCATCTGGTTAGAGCTGCCTGTCATTGATAGTATTTGGATCATTGATGAATATATTGGATGTATAGTTCCTTGATGATTTTGATGATTGTTTTGACAAATTGCATGTTTCATATCTGATCTCTGTGGGATGTTTTACTCATGTTAAGCATTATGAACTGTCTTTCTGATGCTGTATGAATAAATTTGATTTGGATTTGAACAACAACTCATAACAAATTAGGATACAGTTTTTGAAACAATGAAAGCATTTATTTCTTTTTTCTTTGTCTAAGTCCCACAAACTCTTCACAGTTGGTGGACCTGTAGGATCCTGCAGGCCGAAAATGTAAAGTTTTAGACTGGAGAGAAACTGGAAAGATTCTTCTGATGACTACATGTTTTCAATTCTACAAACAGCTGATGATGCTGGTAGCAACTGTTCTTTGATTCAGGCTTTAACTTTGAAATACAATTTTAATTATGGTTTCTTGCTTCCAAAGACACAAACATGTAGCATTTTTCCCTCTTGGCCGTTTCTTTTTAAAAACCATGAAACTAGATGGTAGATATTTTTTTTGCTCCCCCTGCCAAATGCTCAGGCTGCGTATATTATTACATAGACTCAAGCTAATTTCACTAAAATGCTCACAATCGCTGTTAAAACAATTAGCATTTTTTGGTTTGATGGAAAGGGAACAACAGAGACTCCGTGCACTGTAAAAAGTGTGGCCTTGCTTAAAGTAAAAAGTTTGATGTCCATTTGTTGCATCTAAAATATTTGACTTCACAGAATGTAAATAAAGTTGTTTGGTACAACATGGCTATTTAATTTTGATTCAAACCATATTATTGTACTTGAGCCAATATTAATTCTTCACCTTTATCCAAGTTAAATTATTTACATTTCAGTTTTGGAACCAAAGTAAAATATTTATATTGAACCAATCAAATATATATACATCGCACCAAAGCAATATTCAGGCATTAGCACCAGTTAATTCATTTTCACCATGAAAGGCTTTTTTTTTTTTCAGAAATTTGGTTTAAAAAACTATTTGCATCACTCACATCAATCACACTTAATACACTCCAGCAACATTTTTTCAAAGTCATTTATTCCTCACAAGAAAAAAAGGAGAAAAAAAGTGACATGTTCAGACAAACAAATATAAAACATGTCATTGTTGCTCAGAGCAATGAAATAAAGACAATATGGCTTACCAAGCTAAATTAAATGGTTGGAAAGCATCCACTGTTGTACTGTTCAAACACATGAAGGAATGTTGCATCTCTAAACATCATCAAAGAAGTAAAATTCCAACAAAAGCAGTCCACGAAAGTGACACCGTGAGCCTGTATAACAAAGTGCTGCTGAGGTGGTCTACCTCTTAAATAGAAGCCAGTGGCAACTACATGCACACATTAAGCACACACAAATATACACCACTGTGCAGTTTTGAGTTCACCACTGAGTTTGCGAATCTTGGAAGTCATCTTGTTGGAACCAAGCTCCATCAGGATCTTCTGAAGGGCCTCAAAGGTGAACCTGAAACCCTGTGGATACTCCATGATAAGGGCATAGCAAAGTCCAAAGAGCATTACAACTCCGGCTGCAACAGAAGGCAACTCATTGAGGACTTCCACACCATCAATGAAAATCCCAACGTCTTGGGGCTGCTGTAGAAGGCTTGAATTCTCTCTGAAGACGAAGTCTGCCATGATGGTCCTCTCCAGCTCCTGCTTGGCTTGATCTTTCTGGGAGACCTGAGGCAAAATATAGGAAATATGCAACTGAACAACTGCAGTCTGGCACACCTCATTAATCACTATATATTGTATAATGGCATAGGTGGTCTCCTGTGATGAATAAAGTTGAATCATCATTGTGACAGAAAATATCTGGACATACCATGTATTCCTTTATAAGGTCCTCAACACGTTCTCCCAGGTAGATGATGAGAGCTTTGAGGATACACTCCCTTCTGAAATCTGCATCAGCACCCTTTAGGGACAATCAAAATGGTTATTATGCAATGTGTAGACTAATCTAGCAACTCAATTCCTAGCTCTACCATAAACAGTGCTTTTACAGTGCGCGCCTGGTCAATATTGAATCCATGGCAGACTAATTCAAAGCAGTGAAAATGTAAAGCCATTCTAGTACATCTGCCAGAGGCCACTGGTAGTCCCTCTTTAAATATGAAGACAGACTGGATGGCTCCTGTTTTGGTTCCTACAGTCTCAAAGTATCTTTGGTGCAGTGACAGGTGCACAAATGATTTCCTATGAGCTACTACACATTAATGTACTCATAGGTGGCACATGTTTTTCTTTTTTTAAATGGTTGGTATAAACACACTAGACGAACTAATTGCTAACATGGCTTAATATCCTGAGCTAGTCAAGTTCATGGTGTAGCCGAGCGAACCGTGGTGGAAGCGATTGATTGGTAACGAATTATGCCTACCTTAATTAATTTCAGCTACAACCGAACAATGTACACATAGTGATATTTCTCGTGAAATACGTGTAAGTTCAGAAATGACACCACATTTAACCCGGCGAAAAAAGAAAGCGTTTACTGGGATACCCATATTTAGGCGGGACCTTCAGCTTGCTAACCAGGTGACATTAACTCAGTCTTTTGCATTAATACAATTGTAGGCTTGTTAAGACATCAGCTTAGGTTAGTACTTACCGCAGGTTTATTCTTCGATTAAATGCTAGGACGTTAATCATTCTTTCTTCCCCATGCCGAAACGGACGATGCTCTCCAAGCACTTCTCCACAACTTCTTCTCACGTGACTCAGATTCAAATTATTACATCATTTCCTGTCAGTATGTTTTGAGAGAAATCAAAATATTTGCTTTCTTTCCTTCAGAAGTATGATTAATTCAGTCTGAATCAAAATTGACACCTCAGAATGCAAAAAAATTGACTTTCACCATCAAGTCAATTATTTTACAATGTATTCAATGGTAGTTATTAGCTTGAATGAACAGCTCCGTGCATCACTTTTTCCAGTGTGAACTGATTATTGCGACGGGATTTCATATTGCTTTTTAAAAACCAATTAACTCCTGAGTGCTTTGTGTCTTTGCGGCGAAATGGCACGTCGTTAAAGTATTGTGAAGAGACATTGTTGGGGTGTGATAATTGACATCCATTCAGAGCCGCCCTGGCAGACTCTTAGAAAGGAGTTGATTGTTGAATAATCAGACTCTTGGAGCCAGAATCCTGACTTGGCACTTTCTCTGGCTTTTCCCCTCCGTCTGTGTCTCATTCAGACCCAGCGTCAACAAAACACATTCAGCACGACGTTCTCGATACCTAGAATGGTGGACATCGAGTGCCTTCTATTGCTCATTCCTTCTCAATGAAGAAAACAAAATAGACCTACTTATTGTTTAGCTGCACTGCAAAAACACAGAATCCTGCCCGGTCATTTTTGATCTGGTTTCTAGTGTAAATATCTTATTGCACTTGAAATGAGACAAAACTCTTTTGAAAGTAACTTTTCTGCAAGATCCAGAGGCTTGTTTCAAGTGAATAATTCCTTAATGTTGACGAGAAATGACTTGTTCTATTGGCGGACAAATGAACTTAAGTGGGTGAAAACGTCTTTCTACAAGTTAAAAAAATCGGCCGATGGAACTAGAACCCTTTAATCAATATTAAGAAATTATTTGCTTCAATCGAGTCTCTATGCAATCAGGTACAAGTTAAGTAACTTGCTGAAAAGTTACCTGAAAGTTAGTTTTGCCTCATTTTGAGTTTACTCATATATTCGCACTGAATCAGTTTCTTATTGTGACATGAGTTGGCACAGAAACTAACTCATCGGTTTCTTTGACCAGTTTTATTTGATAACCTCCACAGTTTCATTTTAACAACAAATTCAAGTGTGAAAGCTGAAAGTGTCTCTTTGACTCATTTACTATATTAAATGGGGCCTTGATTTTTATCCTTTTTACGTCCTGCTTTTGCTCATTCTTTTCTTCTGACCCCATGAAAAGACAGTCTCCACTCCCTGACAAGAAAATGAACGCTTCAGAATCACCAGAGTCAAGAACTAAATTTGACAGAGAGCCTTTTTTGTGCCTTTTGTAATGTAAAGTGGCTAAACATTGTCGAGTGAAGATGAGAGTTTCTGATAAAATTTCCAAAAATTCTGAATGCTGAAAACAAATCTAGATGTGCACACGTGACCTATGTGACTTGATTATTAATTTTCTTTTCCCCTTTGGGCAGATTTCTTTACCAGGGAAAACGTACAGGGTCATTCTCTCTTTTGCTGTGGAAAAAGTTGTGAAATCATTTTTGGTTTTTATTTTTCCAACATCATAAAAATTTGCTGTTGTTTCAATTTTTGAGAAGCACTCAATTCTGATTCTGCGAGTTTTTCATCTCACTCATTGAATCTGACTCCATTTCACCCTTTGCAGCAATTTATTCTGAAATATAGAATATATAATAAAAGAACTAAAATGTACGAGAGCGTGTATCTGTTGAAACAATGGAGGTAAATAAAGAATGGATTATGAGTGGGAAATTATTTAAGACTCAAAGTTATCAAAAGAAAGTTGCGTTGTGCTACACGAACAAAGTAATAATTCAAATGTTTGGTTTTTTTTTTGTTTTGTTTTTTTTTGCCAGTGAGTGAACCAACGGAGAAAAACAAAATGAATAAAACATTAAGAAATGAAAACGCAAAACCACTTTAAGCAGAACAAAAGTTTGCATTTAAGATTCTTGCATTAAATAGACATGAAAAAAAAAAAAACAGCAACTCTTGTTTACTCAAAGAAATGAGCTTCTCTTTTCATCACTGCTTTGATCAGAGTGACACACACGGATCCGGAGAGAGAAAAATAGGAGAAGAAGAAGAAGAAAAAAAAACATGTCAGAGTGCTGATTGACAGCTTTAATTAACAAAAGCAGAGCAGGTTCTGTGTGTTTCCTCTCGCAGCCTCTGGGGCTTGTGCTGTGATAACTGGGAAATGCCGAAAGAAGAAGTAGGAAAAAAAAACACCTGACTTTCCAAACACTTTTTCTATTCTCTCAGTAGATGCATTCATTATGTTCACACAGGGTTTGTTTTAATGAGGGTTTTCAGTCTGAAAACTGTCCACAGACACTAAAGAAAACGCGTTATGTTATTTTTGTTTTTTTTTAACGGTTAATGCTTCACAGCTGGATCAAGAGTTTCCTATAAAATGAGAACTATCACCTCCACATTCTAAAGTAACGTAATAACATGCACCATTCTAAAAGTTAAATACAAATTATTTAAGCATCTGTTATTAAAAAAAAAAACAAAAAAAAAAAACAAAAAACAAAAACAATGACCATTCTAGATTTGATATTCTAATTTTGGAAGTTTCTAATTAAAGATGACGAGTCCTTTTCACAGAGTCGTAATCAAAACCCCCATAATGAATGATGTATGGCTGAATGGAGGACATAATTGCTGGATTAGACACAGGAGGGAGGCAGATAAGGCGGATGACTGACTTTATTTAATTTTGAAAGTAAAAAACACACACACTCTAAAAGGTGAACTCAGACAGGTTTAAATTTGATTCCTCAGTCAGTCATAATAAGACTGTGAATAAGCAACAGCAAATATAACAGGGACGTGACTGAACGAAACAGTGAAGACCTTAAGAGTGAGAAATGTAACTTTGACAGTGACTAACTCCACTGTCCACCTGGTTCATGGCAGTGTTGTTGTAGGAATGATTATGTCTGCAACTTCTGGGAATGTAGATGCTGCATGAAGTTATTGTTTTGTGTGTCTGTATCTCTGGAAAAAGCCAGATCTACTAGCTGGTTTGTGAAAGACGAAAGTTTAATGAGAGGCTCATCTTTCCCAATATAGAGCAGAAAGACCTTCACATTAATCTGAATTACTGCTTGGCTTATTAGCTAAAGGATACCTTTTATATTCAAAACCCGCTATAATTGAACTCCAGCTCAGTTACAGAGAAAGCCTGGTGAGTTTGAGGAGGTGTGAACGTGAACCCTGATGTGGACCAAACCAGCAAAAACTGGCCCCCTGCAAAGCAAGGGCTCGGCTTGGTTGAAGTGGACTCTGGTGTGGTTCAAATGCTAATCTGAATGTCAAACAGAGCAGAAAGCAGGAAGCAGGAAGTGAACTAGAGTGTAGGGCATTCTGGGTAAATGCAACCAAACCAAATGTGTGAGTCCAGCGCTAGCAGGAGAAATGCCTTGTGGTATTTTGCCAAAGACAAAAGAGAAATCTTTTCCACCGCTGAAATCTCACGGCACTCTGTTGTTGTTTACAGTTTGTAAAGAAGGAAGTTGAGCTCAGTGATGTTTCCTGGTTCTTGGTGCAGCGCCACCGCAGGTAAGGGCCGGAACAGGTTTTTCAAGGGTTTGCTTGACACAGTGCACTGCGAAAGTGAACCGCACAGCTGAAAATGTAACAAATGCAGCAACTTTGATCCCCAGTCAAACTGAATCTACTGACTGTCAGGTGGGAAAACTCCCAAGCTTTGATCAGAGAACAAATTATTTGTCATTGACAGCGTGTGTAATGACAGCTTTCTGAGATAATCGAGTTAAAAAGACGTGAACATTTCATGACCTTTGAGCGATGATATGTTGCACAAGTTATAGGAACCAGGAAAATAAAAATAAAAACTGAATACAAAGGAACATTTTGAAAGCATTTTAAAAGCCACACAAAAAGAAAAATCCAGTATTTTGTGCATGTAAATTGCTCATGTGCGTAATTAAACATGTTTAATTGAAACACAAAGTAACTTTGTGGTCATGGTGGAAAAGCAGGTAAACATGCTGATTTGAAGCAGTTAGAGTGAGTTCTCATTCATGTGAATGTACTTAAACTGTCTGAACCATTATGAGCAGAGGAGAGGGGCGGGTGCAGCCCCTGCAGTGTAGAGGAGCAGAAATGGCAACCAGGCATTAGCACAGCGACATTAGCGTTGTCCCGACAGCCTGTTAGCTGAAGTGGGCTTTAATTAGCTATTTTCCAGTTAGTAAATGGAGGAATTATCGATGGCCCAAAAGCAAGAGTGAAACTAGGCATGCATGTACTCTGAACACACACACACACACACACACACACACACACACACACACACACACACCCCCACACACACACACACACACACACACACACACACACACACACACACACACACACGCACACCTACACACACACGCGCACACATACTAATCTGCTGAGTACAAAAACAAACACTCCAAATAAATGGCAGATACAGGCATATCATATTAGCATAATACGTGGCTCACAAATGGGAAAAGCCATTATCGGGTTTTAGGAAGTGGAGGTTTTTTCACAGTCATGCTGCCTAACAAATCCCAGCCTGTAGGTGATTCTGAATGCTAGACTGCTCTTACCTTCCGCCCCTTCCAGTCTCTGACGAGCCTCTCTTACCTTCCATCACTTATTTATGGCCAAGTTCTGAGCTGTCATGGCTGAAGCCGCCACATTAGGCCTGATAACAGAATGCGAAGGTTATTAGTTAGTTTTTTAATTAGTTTTCCCCCCACCACACATGACCCCTGTTATTTCTTCTCTTTTCTTTTTTTTTTTTTGCATGTGTGTACACACCATCAAGGCATTATTAATATTTAGATTAGAAACACCCGTTCCTGCCTGCCAGCGTGGCAACTGCAGTCTCTCCCCTCTGGGGCCGTGTGGACGGACGGACGGACGGACGGACGGACGGACGGACGGATGGATGGATGGACGGACGGATACGTCCAGCAATAACATGTGCTGGCCGTATCGCCAATCTCTGAACTTTTTGATGAGACAACATTGGTATGTATATTGATGAGACTGCATTTCTGCCAAATTCCAGAAAATCATTGCATAGAATATAATATATAGTTATGTCTAATTAAAGTGGGCATGGCTTAAGTAATATCTTTATTACTTTAATGTGTTATTCAGGTCATTAAACTATCAGATTGGATCACAGTTCTTGTCCATC